GTCTTCGTCGCGTTCCAACCCGTCCTCACGGCGGCCAAGGTCTGCTACAGCAAACCTCCATACGGTGGATCTATCTTCCCTCCTCTCAATCTCTGTTTTTCATGACGGAGCAGTCCCTCCCAACCACGCTGCTCCTCCTCCTCCTCCTCATCGCCGGGATTGAGGCCAATCCGGCGGGGCTCCTGATCCAACAAGGACTAATAGCCAGCCAACCGAAGGTCCAAGAACCACTCCTATGTCCTGACGGACTAAGGCGAGCCAAAGCTTGAGCTGAGCCCCACTTCGACGTATCCAATTTGGGTAACGATTTGGGGTTGAGGGCAGTTACACTGAGCTCGTGAGTTTGACGACGAGTAACGTGTCTAAAAGGCTTTAGTTTTTATCCTTGCATGGCCTGGGATATACTTGCGGTGTTGTCGCAGCCAGTGCGAACTGTCTCATTTAAGACCAAGTCGGTTTACATCACTCGAAGGATGGTCCTCAAGAGCAGTCGTGGTCAAATACTTCCAGTTTTCACTTACCTTCCACGTGCATAGCCCAATATTCGCATTCGTGGAGAAGGGCAGACCACAAAGATGCATGGTACACGCGAACCTTTGCGTCGGGTCTGTAGGCATATCCTAAGGCTGGAGAAAAATTGACGAGCTGCATCGATTAGGGAGACAATGTCGCCCTTATCTGTCCATTCGGCAGCAACTTCGCTCCCAGGTTTTTAAGGCTGCCTACTTCTTCAAGCTGACAGCCATTAACCCTCGAGGGTGCCTTCTGCTGGTCAGGCGTGCAGCAGGAAAAATTTGTGGTCTTCCCAGCGTTCAGGGACAAACCGACCAATTTATAGACCCCGTTCACCCGTGACACCATAAACTGTAGATCACCAAAGTGTGAAGCTATTAAAGTGATACAATCGGCCTAGTTCAGCTCAGTCAATCGGCATCTAGATGCAGGCTCAACATCGTCCTCTTTACGTGGGACATTCCAGAGAATCCACTCAATGTAGACAGTATTGCCGGCAAAGACAAGGGAGACTCGAATGGCCATTTCTGGCTTATTGGCTGTCGTAAGCCAGTCATACGCAGATCCAAGTGGTGTCCCACCCAAGCCTCGAACTGGCGACCTTTTGATCATTGTCGAACGCCCTAACCATTGAGCCACGAGTTCGTTGTCTAGCTGGTTTAGGTCAGGAGATATTGACACTCGTTGATGAACATGTCAGGTGGTGCGTGGCACACGCAGATAATATATTTCTCTGTGCCAGACACACTAAGCCCAAATCCACCTCAGGTCACTAGCAGGGCGGTGAGGAAGGCGCCGCGGAAACACGTGTCACTAAAATACATTTTAACTTCGAAGTCATTACAGTGTGCTGTGTCTAGGAGAGCCGTAGTGCTCCTCACTAACAACAGTCCAACATATTACAAAAATCTGCCTTTTGGGAATGTGAAAAAGAACGCTTACAATGTAACCAAAAAAGGGTACCAGACACTGACCCCATTGGCAGGATCGATGTGGAAAAACGGGCGAAGGTCAGGATCAGAGGAGAGTTCGCTCAGGTTGCCGCCCGACCCAACCAGATACCACCTGAGGGAGGGCTGGAGGGCGTAGGTGTCGCGCCAGACGGTAGGAAGTTGGCGGTCCTTAAAGCGGACTTCTATCACAGATGGATCACACAGCTGGGGACAAAACACGGCCTTAGGCGCCAGTGTAACCACTGGTATGGCTGAAATGTTAAATAAAAGTATACGCTTGACAGGAGTAAAATCTAAGATGCACAGCGGGAAATGGGTAAGTCTATTACAGGGCTCACCTCGAAACCAACCCCCCCGCAGCATTACTTAATGTGTGACCAGAGGTAATGGTCACAGATTTTATTTTTTTGTTTTATTAATAAATTAAATAAAGTACTTAAATCATTTTACTACTGTTTACTGTTTTGTTCCGATGTTTTGCTTTTTTATCACCTACCACTACCCCTACTACTACCGGCCCCACATTAGAGAATTTTGAGATTTTGGGTTTGCCTGGTGAGCCCTGACTGTGACCGAAAGCCAATTGGAAGATCTGTATTTCAAATTCATCAATTAGAAAACTAGAATCGCAGAACTTGCCCCAGATGTTGAAACACACAGATTTGCCTTCCCATGGGTGGAAATTGCACGTGCCCCCCAGGCCCCGCGAAGAACAGTCACACGCAGGCAATCCGCGTGGTCGACGTACAGACCTCAAACACAGTCTACCATGAGCAAGTCCCTCCCCCCCCGCCTCCCCGCACTCCGATCTCCTTAACACGCCGACGGCTGCGATCAATCATGACTCATACAGTTGGCACGCTAACTGCGCCATGTAAGAGACGAGGACACAAAAAGATGACTAATCGT